GTTTACAAGAATATTTACTTTAAAAAAAAAAAAAAAAAAATCACACTAACTAGGCATTTTCTTGTTTATATGAGCAATGACACCTTTTATTAAGGCTTTTTTTTTTTTTTACATTTCAACTTAATTTCTGGTTATAAAAAAAAATTTCCCATTCTTTGCATTTTTCTTATTTTAGTCATGTTAAATTTTTGTTGACTATAATCCTAAAAAAAAAAAAAAAAAAAAAAAAAAACCCCCCCCCCCCCCCCAAAAAAAACCCCAACAAAACCAACCAAACAAAAACAGCCACACCCCACACCCCCCCAAAAAAAAAACCAAACCAAAACCAAATAAAAACCCCACAACAACAAAAAAATCAGCAAAAAAACCTGACCAAATAACCAAACAAAATCCCCCCAAACTATACAACTGAATAAGGTGATGATCTGATTGAAATATTTCTTCTTTCCCTTTATATTAACTTCTCCTTTTCTGAATTTACTTTTTTAAAAGTCTTCATTTCTTCTCTCTTTTGTCTTTCATTTTTTTGCACTCAGCTCTCTTAGTTTTCTCCTCATTTTTCCAAGGACCATCAAGAAAACTTGAACCTGGAAGGCTGTAGAAAGGAAGGAATGAACTTCATCCTAGTGTAAAATCTCCTATAAACTATCTGAGCACATGGTATGTGATAGCAGATGGCATTTGTGCACAGATTTCACTTGATCACAGAATGGGTTTCAGTTAATCGAGGATGGAATAGTTTCTCTAATTACTTCTTCTTGGCAGAGAGCTATACATACAGGATACATTCTGCAAGCAGTTGATAACCTTATTTGAAGTGTTTCATGACAGTACAGTACACATTTGTTTGATTTCCTGGCTTAAAATCACCTACAGATGGTATAGTTTGTGACTTCTGTTTATGAAGAGTTAATTACATATTCCAATTATGCAAGGGATTTGAATCTCCTATTCCTGACCCCTTAGTATTCAGTGGTTGTCAGGACTACATGCTGAAAAACTCAAGGACAGAGAATTTATTCATGTTCTTCCAGCTTTTATAAAGCTTATCACCTTACATTCAGTAATCAATAGTATATTGTTCCAAGAATTTTCTTGAAAGATTATACATTTGCTTTAGGAAGCATCTAGTTTGGACTATTTTCACTATTTGTGTGTTTTAGTTACAGTTCTGACAGTAGCAACTTGTGTAGGGGGTCGGGGGGGAGAAGTGGAGAAAGGAAGCTCTACAAAAGGGCAATTTTAGATTTTCTGTGCTGAAAAAGCTTTACATGCTTCTGCATGTGTATTCTAATTTCAGAAGATCAGTTAATGTAGCTATACAGGAAGTAGATGACATGTACTTGGTTTCACTGAAAATAATTATCCTAGATTCTATTTGGTGTGTCTTTAATTGTTTACAGAATATTCACATCATCTCTTGTCGTGTTGGGAAAAATATCTCTGTGATAAAGCTTGATTGTACGAACAGCTTTAAAACATGTTTTCACAACACATCCTTCTAATATCTTTTACAGTGTAATTTACTGTAAAATATTCTAATTAGTTAAAGTAGAAATTGGAATGAGTAACAGTCTTTCCCATTATGATAGGTGTATTTTCTTCTCGCTCCTTTGCTGATATTCTAGCATTTTTTAAGGGCCATGGCTTGGGGAACAGTAATTTATTAGTTGCAGAGGTGCGGAAATCCCTCCTGTGTGGTGAATATGAATAATGATTTGAGCTGAGTGGAATTAATGCTGTTGGTTTGCAAATATCAACAGTGATTAGGAGACTAATTGCTAATTATACTGTTGTTTTGTAAGCATTTTGTATAGTATGACTGGATTTTTTTATTAATCAGACAGTATAATCTTGCATAGTTTCCTATAGCCACTTTTATGTTAATAGCCAGTATCTCTAATGGGATCAGTTCTGATCCATCTAGTGACTATCTGATTGATGGTATTGTGATAGCTATGTAGTGGCACTGATTGCACTATCAAATGAACTACTGTTTGGAGTAACTGGTGTTCTGACAGAGTAGAATAAACTACTGCTTCTTCAGTAGGTTCTAAGTATATGCTAAAGAAGAGTGTAAGAAATCTAAGATGAGGACTGCTGCTTAGAGTTGTGAATGGTCCCTGTTGTGGGAGTGGATGGAAGTGAAATACTGGAAATAGCTTTGCTCTGTTTCTGAGCAGAAAGGAGAAGAAAGTGGAAGCTGAAAAAGTAGGAACTAAAATAACTGTTGCTATGAGAAGGATTAGCCTTGAGGTGCTTTTCCCATACCTTGGGTTTGAAGGCTAATCATCATGGGCTGACAGAGTTTACTTAAAACTTTCTAAAGGATTTTGCTTGTTGTGTGAAGTTTGAGATCATCTTCCTGCAGGGAAGCTAAGGATCCTGGGATGACTGTACTGGAGAGTGAACTGGAGTTCCAGTCTGTCTGAGACTATTTGCAGAAGGATGGACTAGACCTCTGCTAATGTCTTTGCTAAAACTTGAGGATTTTTCTGTATTTTGAGATGTTGGGACTTCAGCTGCTTGATCTCTGTATAGATATGGAATAAGAAGAAAGAGCTGCAGCTAGTTTAAATAAAAACTTGGTTAGTCTTAGAAAGATAACCCCAGTTGTGATTACTGGTAGCTGACGAGACATTTTCTATTTGGAAAAATCTTGCTCAAGCGGATGGCTGTAAGTAGCATGCTTCTTGCCTTAAAGAAGGTGCCATTACAGTGAACAGCCATTCTTTGCGGCCTCTTTCAGTTAGAAAAAGCTTAGTCTGAAATTTTCATGGTATCTTGGACATTTCTCAAGATTTCAGCTTCACTGGGAGTGCTAGGAACACAGGTTTTTTACTAATGACCATGTACTAATTCTGCTTTGTACTGTTTTAATCTTTTCTATTGCAAGCACTGATAGCTTGGTTCAGAATTTAAAACTATGAAATCCATGTAGTTAATGGGATATTTCTTTTGGCTGTTGTTTTCTTGGAGTTACCATAGAGCAGAATTTTTTTCCCTTACTGTAGTACCATGTACGTGTCGGGAATGATTCGTGCTCTTCCCAAGCAGACTTAAAAGTAGGTTTTACTTAGTTGTTGCATGTGTGTTTCGTCTTCTGAGGGTTATTGACAAATTGAATCTCAACACATGTTGGGAAGAGACAGTGTAGGCCACTATAAATGGTAATAGTTATTACATGATCACAGTGAATGACTGCAGTGTCCTTCAGTATGGATGACCTGCTTTCCGAGTTTATGGTGAAATTTTAAACTATGTATACATAATGTATTTTTCTTCAAATAAACTAGACCTATGGACTAAGGATGGAAGAATATTTTTAAATTGTTAGTTTGAATTTTAAATTACTTAATAAGTAAATAATTGTTGAAATAGTCTTTTTTTTTTTTCCCCAGCTGTAGCAGAAGTGAAGCTTCGTGATGATCAATATACCCTTGACCACATGCGTGCTTTTGGCATGTATAATTATCTTCACCTTGATTCCTGGTCCCAGGATAATGTCTACTATGTTGATCAGTTTGGAAGGGTTATGAATCTGTCAGTGACTCTGGTAAGAATAAACCTTTTTTAAAAATTACTGAATTTGAAAAGGTGGGGGTAGATAAGATAGAAAATATGGCAAGGAGGATTCGAATGCAAAAACTGGGGGAAGCTGTTGCCAGGAAGACGGGTAGATTAACAAAAATGCAGTTCAACAGGAAAGGATTTTAAGTGAGGTTTCTGACATCTTTGCTTTAATAGTATTGCATTAGTATTGAAATAGTATTGCATCTGCTTCCATTCTGGGGAAGACAGACATATGGTGACAAGCTGAAGAAAAGAGTAGACACTTTTCTAGTTGCCGGCTGTTTCTCCCCTATGTTACTTGATGTTTGTCTGTTTGCTAATTTGAAAATCCAGTCGTAGGTATAAGGAGAGAAAGAAGCTGTATGCATTAGAATTGGAAATGAAAGCCTTTATATACTAATAGGTTAATCTGGGCATCACTCACTGGAAGCAAAAAGATGCTGGTGGTCCTGCGCAAACTTGAAACAGAGTGTAAGCAAGCTAGACCAAGTCTGAAAAACATGACGGTTCTCTGCTTTTATACTGATGTTCTTAAGTAGTCAAACTTTTTATTTCTTTTGAGCCATTTTGCTGCATGGATGCACTAGATTCCATTACAAAGTCATTCATCATTCCGGAGGGTGAAGGACATGGTTCTATGGACGCCGTGTTTCTGGTACATGCTTGGTCATTAAGGAATAGAAGATTGTGTTACTGGCAGTGGTTTTGCAGCTGTCACAATGTCTTCTTAGCTTTGAATGTATAATTTAAAGTAAGATTATATCTCTGACATTTTGACTTGTATCCTGTTGAGCAATAAATATATGCTTACAGTTTTTCACCACAAAGTAGGATTTTTTTTTTTTTCATTACTTTGATTAACTCAGTCCTTTTGACTCATCAAGTATAGCTTCTTAAATGTTCATCTATGCAGAAGGAAAAAAAAAAAGTCCGGAATTGTGTCCAGTTGTTAGCTAATTTAAATAGCGATGCTTCATTCATGACCAGTTATTTGGTTAACATTTTATGTTGAGAAAGGTCATAACATAATAGATACTCCATTCTCATAATAAGATTTGCTCTGGCAGTAAATGATTCAGGGCTGCTGTTTCATTTTTACATAAAACAACGTTAATTTTATATAACAAGTCAGTTGAATTCTGCTATGAGATTAATATAATTCTAGAAAATACAAAATGCGTCACATACTAATACTTTCCTGCTTTCTATAGCTGTTCCTGTTTCATTCATATATTTTGGTGTTGCAGCTTCTTCAAGTTACTGTAACGTGACTTTTGGAATCATGTTACTTGACATAAGATTAATTAGACTGTGTGAGTGTTAAATAGAAGGAATCTTTAAGTGAGTTGTGTGGAGGAGAAAGTCTTTAACCTTTTATTACTCAAATGATTCAGAGTGATTGTATACTGCTGAGATGTTTAAAGTTTATGGAGTCTCTTCATACTGTTCTTTCTAGACTCCACAGAAAGTTTTGCTCTGCAGTCCACAGAGTACTGGCCTAAACATATTTCATTGCTATAACTGACTACATGTAATTTTCAAGTTTGGAAAGGAAAATATCCATTGTCATGCTACCAAGGAATTTGACTTGTAACCCAAAGGGTCTGTTGTGGTTTAACCCCAGCCAGCAACTAAGCACCACACAGCTGCTCGCTCACTCCCCCTCAGTGGGATGGGGGAGCGAATAGGAAGGGTAAAAGTGAGAAAACTCGTGGGTTGAGATAAAGACGGTTTAATAGGTAAAGCAAAAGCCACGCACGCAAGCCAAGCAACCAAGGAATTCACCCCTTCCCATCGGCAGGCAGGTGTTCAGCCATCTCCAGGAAAGCAGGGCTCCATCATGCATAACGGTTCCTTGGGAAGACAAAACGCCATAACCCCAAATTTCCCCCCCTTTCCTTCTTCTTCCCCCAGCTTTATATGCTGAGCATGACGTCATATGGTATGGATTATCCCTTTGGTCAGTTGGGGTCAGCTGTCCCAGCTGTGTCCCCTTCCATCTTGTGCACCCCCAGCCTCCTCGCTGGTGGGGTGATGTGAGAAGGAGAAAAGGCCTTGACTCTGTGTAAGCACTGCTCAGCAATAACGAAAACACCCCTGTATTACCAACGCTGTTTCCAGCAAATATCCAAAACATAGCCCCATACTAGCTACTATGAAGAAAATGAACTCTAACCCAGCCAAAATGAACACAGGGACAAAAGAAAACACAGGACGATGTGTGATTTTTGAGAGAGTGTGACTTACTGTGTGCAAGGTTCTGGGAATGGAAATTACTAGGCCAGGGCTAAGGTGAGAGAAATCCTGATATAGTAGTTCTAGATTTTCCAGGAAATACAGGTTTCCAGAGGATGGTAGGCTGAGAACTGGAGCTGCAAAATAGTTCCTTTACTTTTCATAGAACATACAAGCTGTTGGAGCCTTTGGCAGACTCTTGCTGAGACAGAATAATCTTCTGGGACTTCTTCCAAATCTTTTGAGATCATCTGGATTCCCAGTAGGAGTGTCTAAAAGAAAGAAGCTTGTCAGTGAAAGCCTTCTGTGAGGTGTGGCTTGTCACAATCTCATTTTTTGTGTTTTTTCCTTGTGGTTGGTTAACCTTGGCTGGCTGCCAGGCACCCACCCAGACGCTCTCTCACTCCCCCTCCTCAACAGGATGGCGAGAAAATAAGACAGAAAAGCTTGTGGGTTGAGATAAAAACAGGAAGATCACTGTGACCGATTACCGTCGCAAGCAAAACAGGCTCGACTTGGGGGGAAATTAATCTAGTTTATTGCTAATTAAAAATAGAGTAGGATGATGGGAAACAAAGCCACACAAAGCTCCTGCCAGGAGCTTGCTCCAGCTTGGACTTTCTGTGGGCTGCAGTGTGGATATCTGCCCCACTGTGGTCTTCCATGAGCTGCAAAGGGACAACCTGCTTCCCATGGTCTTCTCCAAGGGCTGCAGGCGAACCTCTGCTCCGCACCACCGTCTTGGCTGACAGGCTCAGCTGTGCCCTGTGGTGAGTCCATTGGAGCCAGTTGGAAGAGGCTGTGTGCACCATGGGGCAGCCTTGTCCTCTTCTCATAGAGGCCACCCCTGCTGCTCCCCACTGCCAGCACAGCACAGACACCCAATACATTCCTTTATTAGGAGGGCACTAAAACGTGTAAATTTCTTTCTTGGCAGATAAACTAGATAAAGGATTTTACAACAGGCAGTAATTTGCATTTTTATATGCAGTAAATTGAAATAATATTGTTTCCTAGGACTGGTGAGTCCATTGGAATGTTCAAGAAAATGGCGCTTGGTTAATATCTTGTCACAAGTTTTATTTCCACTGGACTCTGAAATAAATAGCCGCCATTTTGTGTCCTAATATGCAACACAGTGCTGTTTTGCAAAGGAAACATGTTTGCATATGTATAAAGAGGAATGTGTATTCAGAAACATCAACAAGGTGTCTCATTACAAATGTGCCTGGCTGTATATTAGTCAAATGTATATTACAAATAATACTGTTTTCAGCCAAGTATAGCTTACAAGTTAGCAACGGCCACAATTAAAATTAATGTCAGTCATCTTTAAAACAGAAGATGAAACAGGTTAACATGCTTACCCTAAATCCAAAGTGAAAGAACACATAGGCTTCTTAACACATAATTATTTCTAGTTTTGCTTCCTATTTCTGTTGCAACTTTGATTCTAGTATGGCAGTGTGTTAGTTATCCGTAAATCATGAATTATCCCTGCAACTTAGGTGTTTAAAACGATGTCATCTGTGAAGGCAAAAAGTATAGATAATACCTTGCCACTTGCTCAAAATCAAACATAATTGAAAAAGAAAAGTGATTGACATGAGCAGTTTTTCTAAGTTGATGGATGGGTATTCAAGTGGGGTTTTTTTATACCAGGTTGAGAAAGTTGTTGCCCTAACTTGACTGGAAATACTGTATAAAAGCTTTAACATTCTTCTATTACAGCTATTGTATTTCTTTCATTCGGTAAACCAGCATCAATACTTTGTTTTAAAGATCCAATGGGTAGTGTAGTGACAGTATTACTGAGTTTTTTTGGGGGGGTTGTGGGGTTTTTTGCATATGACTTGACTTTTTTAATTACTTGATGTTTGTAATACTGGAATTTAGCTGGAAAATAATTCAAAGTTTTCTCCTACAGCAGTTAAATACTTGGACTTGATTTCTCGACCTTCAGCTCTTTTTGCAAAGATGACTGTTTCTTTTTATATTCAAATAATGGAATTGAGAAATCGTGGCAACTGTAACTCTTCTCACACTTAATTAAAATCCTTAATGGTATCTATATTTTCATCTTTCTGAATTCCAGTAAGAATTAGCTGTGGAATGCTGTTTCCGTAACTTTCAGTTAAACTAAGAACAACTGTTAGAGGCACCAGAAACAATGTGAGAATTCTGTTTGAAACAGGTCACAATAAGGAAGCAGATAAAGTGAAGAACAACAAAATCTTTTAGACTTCTGTATCAGGGTTTTAAATACTGGGCTCTTAGTTATTCAGAATGCTGGGTGTGGACATTTTTCCTCAGAGAGAGGTGTCCAATGCCTAGATATTTTGATTGTTCATAAAAACAAAGTTTTGTATTTGTTATGGCTACTTTGTGGAAATTGCCATATAACTTACAGCTTTTATTTTTTCCTTTCTCTTTTGGTATGTTTTTTCTTTTCTCATTCCCTGTCTTTTCCTTGGAAAATTCATTCTTATTTTAAATCTCTTATGAGATATCACTTGTTTATACAGTATGATGAACTGTTTTTGACTTTGGAACAATACAATTTCTTAATACAACTTAAAAAATTTAAATCTTACAGGCATGCTAAAGAACCTAAGTAAAATTTCACTACTTAACTATGTAAGCCAAGACACACTTACTTAAATGGAGCTTAGTGGGGGGGAGTCAGGAACAGAGGGAATTTTTAAGCTTGCATTTTACATTTTACCTCTTGTACCTGCACACTGGCTC